CAACTTGAGCGCATTTGTGATTGAAAAATCTCTAGGTGGACGCAAGGCGAAATTCAAGCGTGCAACGCCTAAGTTGGCGATTTGATATGATATAAAGAATAAATTATAATGTTAGTCCCGTATGTTTCTTTTACCTTTAACTTTTTCGACCTCTTCGAATTACATTTTTAAATTTGTCCTGTATGTTGCAAAAGGTTACAGAAAGACCATTCTCACAACAAAAATGTCTTATATTTTGCAAAAAAATGTTTCAATTCTTTCCCTTATGTATGAAAAGGACCTTTTGTAACATTTTTGCAAATATACGAGACGAAATTAAGAAACGTAATTCGAAGAGTACAAAAAAGTTAACGTAGTGAAACATACATGACTAAAATTACAATTTACTCTGATAATAGAAGATTAATATTTGGTTAGGGTAAGACGAGAATTTGACTCCACGAGAAATTGAAGAAAAAGCCGCATGAAAACGAGACCAGCAGTTCTGAAGAAGTAAATAGCATAGAACTCAAGGCCTTGTGATGGAGTCAAAAGAACTTCATGTGGTGAATATCTATCAGTCAACATCAATTTCAGTTCCGATGATGGTGAATATCTATCTGTCCATATTTGACCAAAGCAATCGTAAGCGGCAATGTGCTTATACTGTGAATCGAGAAATTAAGAAGTCGAGAAAGGATAATATTCTGAAGTCCCAACCAGTCGAGGGGAGGTCCCTAACTATAATGTACAATATCCTATTATAGTATTTTTATTTATTTATTTATTTATTTTTGTTATCTTTTACATTGTTATCATTTTTTGATATATACATGGTCTAATATTGTTGAATAGATAATTAATGGATATGTGCAGAATTTAATCTGTTGATGTTGGTCTCTTGTTGTTTTGAATCTATGAAAATGATGTTGATGATCTACTGCAAGTTTTTTTTATTTATAGTACATTCTTTCTATTTTTCAAATTTAATCATGTGGATTTAAAATATTAGGTGATACAAATACATCATTAATGAATACATTTTCAATTTGGTGGACAATTTGGAATTAATTGGTGGGAACTATTATATCTAACAAGTGGTCTCTAGCCAGAGACCCACCAACCCGAACCGATGATATGTGCAATGGCAAAATAAATGCATGTGTGTTGTGTTGTGTTGTGTTGTGTTGTGTTGTCTCATTACTATCTTTTTTAACTTATGCCCATAACATTCGTGACTCAACTTTTTTTACTTGTTATTATTCTTTTGGTTTTCATACGGATTCAGATGCTTAATGCTCATCTACCCACGATGGGACACATGTTAATATGTCCACCGTTTATGTGACATTCATACAATGGTGATGTATTTTTTTTGAACATATTAACATCACCAATGTCTGAATGCCACATAAACGGTGGACATATTAACATGTGCCCACCGTGAGTAGGTGAGCATTATTAGCTTAATTCTATTGATTTATCCAAGAATGAGGTAAGCTTAAGTTTTATCATATGAAACCTTCCTTATGCAACTAACACCTTGGCTCACTTAATGTTTATGTTAAGCAAAATTATACGTTGTGTTAGTATATCTATACTCAATATAATACGTTATGTATCATTATTTTATGAGGCATCGAATTCATTAGTGCATAGGTACTTAATGTCCTTAGGTCTTCAATGATATACTATTTATGTTACGCATATTTTTTATGATCTTTTACGTGATATGTATAAAAATTGATATATACTCACATTTTTTTTACACCAATATTAGGAACGGGAGAGCTGCTCATACCATATTAAAGATATTTGAATATTAAAGTTCTCAATAGTAATGGCAACAAGGTCGATGCCACATTAAATGAGATTAAAAATATTTGTCAGCAGACCAGTTAGAGATTTAAAAAAAAAAAAAATACTGAACTGTTTTTGACAAATTTCTCGATATTCCTCGTTGTAAAGTCCAGAGATGGTGAACCAAATTTCACTACGCGCGAAGTACACCAGCGTAGGTCTGACGAGGTGTGGGTCACATGTGGGGGAAAGATGCTCATATTTGGCATCGACGAGTTTGCATTGATATCTAGAATGAGAATCATCGGCTCTTGTAGGAAATTGTCCTTTCCCAAAGTAAATCAAGGTTTGTATGACAAGTACTTTTTTGATTTTCGAATCGGCATTAAGTGTCAGTTTCTAAGTAAGGAATGGAGAAATAATCCAACTCAAATTTGGACCCCCGAAAAAATCATTGTGGACATTGCAGTTAAAGAATGGACGGAGTATGCTTCTTCCATGTCCTAGATGTAGTTCTCTTTTCTCTTCTTAGTTTTATTCTATTTTATGTTAGTCTTTTTTTCTGTTTTCTTGTCTCTGCTTATCTTTTCTCTGTTTTCCTAGCTGGGCCTTGGCAGTGGCTAGTTTGTCATTGATGTATCTTCTGTGTAGTTTTCTAGCAGTAGCAGGTAACAAGTCTTCGCCGCAAAGGCTTTGCTGCTGTTACTTGGTTGTTATGTCCGATGTGGTTTTCCTTGATTTTTTTTTTTTTTTATAGGAAGCTTATAGCTCTCTTCTAACCCTTTCTGGATTGTGGTCCTTTGAGATCCCGTGTACGAACATTATTTATTTAAAAATGTTATAAGTACATAATCAATGTACATAACACACGTGGAGTGAGGTCCATTATATTACTTATTGTCGTTCCAAAAAAAAAATAAAAAAAATTATCCATGTTCTTTAGTATTCACACTATGTTGGACATTTCAACTACATGATCATGGATTGACTTTGGCCACTAATTTTTTTTTTTTTGTAGTTAGCTCACTCATAAGCTACCTACAACTGAGTTGTTAGCCGAGTTCGACAGGAAATATTCTTTAATTTTGTTCAAAATTGAAGGCTGGTATGCATGGACATTCTCATGAGGTTCAAGCTCAGCATACTCAACTGCTCCTAAGGTTCATATACATAGGCTTGTCATATATAACGTCGCTGGTAATAGCTGCGAAGTTCTTCGATCAGTTGATGTAATTAGGCTCAAATCTATAATATCCAAAGTAAATGGATTTATCTAG